CATGGAGGTGAAGACCTAGCTGAACACAGACAGCTTGACCTCCAGACTTAATTGCTTATCCCGGTAGGAAGTAGTTCACACAGAAGGTCGCTGGCCATTCCATTTCGCCGGTCGATCTACCTCCATCACCGGTAAACGACCTCCAGGTTCCTCAATTTATTCCCCTCTCCCACTGTTTCTCCATTTACCTGCAAGGTATACGGCAGGACGAGAAAGCACTAGGCTTTTGGTTTAACACATGTTCACACACATACCAGCCACGTCGTTTTAGACTGCGAACGTTTCTAGACGGCGCTGGAGATCAGTGTCGGAAGATGCAAACAGCACAAGGTCTTCTACAAAGAGCAGACTTATCGTCTCGACGTCCCTTACGTTGACGTTGACACACTTATCACTGTCTGAGACTGACTATTTTTTCTTTGTGCAAAGCAAACTGGAGAGGATACCAGTTCTGATCGCCGGCTTGTCTTATTGTGCCTCAGTTTCTCAATAGCTTTATCGGCGTTGATGATCCGGGCGACAGCCGAGCCGGTATGATGTTCAATAACACCGTATCATGATGGACAAGTTGCTCAGTTTCACGGGACTTCTCTACGGTTCCCAACCCTCCTTCTAATTCATCCGGGCTTGGAAGTGGCACGGCAGTTATTTATTAGTTAGTTACATAATAAGTATTTATTCTAGTATTGTATGCATCTTTATTTGTTAATGATATATCATTGTGTTTTTTGTACGTGTCATCTCGCTCTCGTAGAATTTTGCCAGAGAACATTCCTGAACACATATCTTCAGCCCCTCCCGTTTTTGTGAACGATGAAAAACGAGCCTCTCTACTGCTTTCTTCTGGAGATGATGAAAGGAGTTCACGAATGCGACTCGGCGCTTCTTCAGAGGAACAGAACGACAGGCACGCAGGCATGTTTGCCATGCATTCTAGGAATCAGCATTTGCAGCAAATGGACATCTCAAAGTCCTTCAGCAAGTGCGGGGAGCTTTCACCTGTGGAGTAAGTTCCTTTTGCATCTGTATATATTCGCGGTACGAATACATCGCGTGTGATTAGTGGGATGTGGCTCTAGCAATGCGATGCGCATCTGTAGCTGCAGCTGCTGCTCAAATACCATGGAGCGACCCGTGGTCGTGACAAATGGTAGCAGTGGGCGGTTCAATAAGCCACGGAATCTGGTTTTGAACGACTCATTAGTTATTTGAATATCAACGCGTGAATTTCCTGGCTGAAAAGGAAGGGCAAAGTTGGCAACCGTTTGGATATGGGGCTCCCATACACTTTTACAATTTTTGGTCTGTTCTGCAGCATTGATCGTCCTCATGATACCATCAGCCCAGAGTAGAAGACAAAATGTAAATTTTGTTCGTAGTAAAATAACGGCGTTGGCAGATTTCTTTGTTCATAGATTTGATTATCAGGTCATCAATAGTAGCAAGCTACTCCACACATTCGATAATAACGAAGACTGCCAAATTCGGGTACTTCCGAACCAAGTGCTTAATAAAACAGATTCCGTGATAATCAACCATCCGTGCACTTTACAGCGATATCTCTTGCGACTCTAGTCTAATAGTAATAAATATCGCTTTTTTATAGCTCTAATCGGTTTCAACGTTTCTCGATTTCACCTCAAATTGAGAAACGTATTAAATGCTCAAGCTTTGTTGATCTGACGGCTCGGACGACCGAGGGTATGAGCAAAATGGACATCAATCGTTGTTCGAGTACCGAGTTCAGCGGCTGCCAGTTCAAGTTGCAAGCTTCACAGAAACGTATCGAAATGTTGGAGAACAAGGTGCAACGGTTGCAGGGCGAACTGACCATGGTACGACTCGTTGACCGCTTTGTGTGACTGACCCGCTCGTTTGATAAGTTGTTGCAAATGCGTACACTGTCGTTGTTTCAGGAGCGAGACTCTAAGTGCTTGCTAGAGATGGAGATCTTAAAGCTCAAGGAGGTGAACAAGACGCTACAGGAGGAGTGTCGGGCGGCGAAAAGCGAACTGAAACAGTTTACGCAGTGGTTTTTCAACACTCTCGAAAACCCCGTCTCGCAGACGACCGAATACACGGTCACGCCGACGCAGGACCCGGCCTTCGATGACATTCAGTCTGTATGACATACCAGCGATGGCATTTATTTTCCTTACAGTCGTTTGCGACTGTTTTTCTTTGACCTAGTCGACCGGAAATGACAGCCTCGCCCTGCGCTTGCGCACAAACACAGAATATCTATTTTTGTTTGTTTCTTCGCTGCTCACAGTTGCTGCCTGTGTGCCATAAATATGACGTTGCATGTCTGACAACTTTCATCTGACCGACCGAGCTGTGATAGGTTGCATTGTAATATAAGAAATAAACTTTATGCTCCGTCGAAAACTGACTTTGTCGGCTGGTTGCACCGTTGGCATGAATTTTCTTTGCAAAAATAGCTTCCTGTTCAGTTCAGATCCAGGAATGAAGCCCTGAAGTTTTTGTTGTTCAGAAAAACACAATTGTAGTTTATAACGTTCTTACAGCAAATGACATAGCTATTAAAATATCATAGCCATACGAAAATAATGATATCCTCGTTGCCAACCATTCTCGGTTATGTAGGATAAATGCAGAGCCTACAGCACTTTTTTTTCCTCCATGGATGATTAACTGATTGCTTCTAAGTTCATGACGAATCATCTAAAATGTCATAATGGCCTAAAGAAATATAAAAAGTATATTTAACTACAACTTACCCCAAGCCTCATTTTCTGCATGCTTATAAAGTAAACGCATGTCAGTAACTTACCTTCCGTTGGGTGTTAGCTCCACGACTGTTTTAGCGTGACTTGATATCGTTCACTTATGCTCGTGCTTCCAGTTGTAAGGTAATATTTCATGCGTTGGGGTATATTATATGGGATGTTCTAGAAGGCTACAGGTAGCTAGCCACGTCAGTCAAAAAATCAGGTAGTTTCAGGCAGCAAGTCAATGTGCAAAATGAATTGTTGGTCTGAATGGCGCTACACAGCTTTCTTGAATGAACCGCAAATGCTGATGTCGACAGTCAACAATAACGGCCAAACTGAAGTAAAGCAAGAAGAAAAGGAGGAAAGCGTAAAATAGACTGGTTGGATTCTAAATGGCAAAGCACTGGGTTAAGCTATTTTCAACTGCGGGTAGAAGCTATTCTACTCGGGTGCTATCTCCATATCAATGCTCAGGTCGGTGTTAACGTTCTAGTGGAATCACACCTGGGCTGACAGAATCGCTGAATGGAACTACAGCAGGTTAAAGCGTTGACCTTGATACAGGTCTATGCGCCTAATTTAGAGAAAGAAATAGCTTCCAATCAGGAGGAAGTGCAGTGTGCTCTGTCCGAAGTGCTGAATACAGAGTCCCTCATACTCATGGCCGATTTTAATGCGCATGTCGCAGAGTAGACGTTGAAAAGTGGAACAGCGTGATTGCAAAAAACGGCCCTAGCGACCTCAATAATAACGGCATGAAGTTGTTGCGGTTTTGTGCAAACAACGGATTGCTATTATGAACACCTTCCTCGAGCATCGAAGTGCATCAGTACACCTCGTACCGGGAAGCCTGTGCACAGAAGTCGATGATCGATTTGATAATCGTATCGCCTGACCTAAGACGCTTAGTAAAGGATGTTCGTGTTAAGAGAGGCGCAGAGCTATCAACCGATCATTAACCTTGTTGTTGGCAAGCTGCACTGTAAGAAATAGAGTACCATACGAAGATCTGGTAGCAGAAGCAACCAGAGAATCAAATAGGAAATGTTATTTCTGCGGATACGAAACGTGCAAACGACACCGCACGACGGTTTCAACAGCTCCAGGTAATGACCGATGGTCGAATGGTCAAAGTTATAAAGTTGAAGTGGCACTGGGCAGTGTACAGAACATGAGGAACCGACCATCGCTGAACAGTAGGGAGATTAGACTAAATTATTAGACGAGAGTAAACGGTTAATAGGATGACCTGCAGATTGATGGTAAGATGAACAGAAACAGTTCCCTTGATAAAAATCGAGAAGAATCACAGAAAACACGTTTGTGGCAAAGTCATGAGAGGTTTTCATACATCGGTGGATCGAAAATAGCTGATAATTAATGATAGTGATACATATACAGTAAATGCTTGGCTGATATTCAAGTTCAGTAATTTCAGATTATGGGACGGCGGGACGTGTCAACCGTCAAATATCTCGCGCAAGACCTGTTTCGCGGGGAGAACTATACATTCTTGTGTAGCCGGTGTAGTCCAGTTTTCGATTAGTTCTGATTTGCATAAAAGTGCAAGACCAAATTCTCCTTTCATTTCCCGTCACTTCTCCGAATTCTTGTGGCGGACCTGCACCACACTTTATTCCTTGCTTCTAGTGGCCTTGCAGAACCTTTCGGCATGCCACGGCTTCATGGTATTTTAGCACCTTCAGCGCGATGGCGCCAAACATCACCATTGTATTGCGTCTAACAAAAACATGTTCTAACGCCATCGAATATACTTCAATATATCCGGAGGCAAGTATGAACGTGGTAGTATGGGTTTACTAGAAAACTGCTGGGTTTCGTTCGATATGGTCGGTGAGAATAACAGTCGACTGTCACTTCCACTCGTCGTGGTTTCTTACTGCTAGATCGGCGATCGCTGGCTTTTGAAAAGTTCTTGTACTTCTGCGCATAGCTGTGCACGTGGCTAATCGTCCACAAAGGCTTTACGAACGAATTAGTGTGTCGGGTAGTGCGCGGTTTAAGTGAGATGTTTTTTGCCGATGGCTACCGATGGTGAGTTTGTAGTGGTAACGCGACAGCTGAACAAGTCGTCTCTCTCGCTGGAGGCATGGTGTGCATGACTCATGCAGTTAACAGCGACGGCTCTCTCGGTGCATGACGCTTTCTTGACTTTTACCTATGACGACGTCACTCGTAACGCGCACGGCTATTTCTGATCGTCGTTTCAAGAGATGAGGCCGTTCTCCTGAGGGAGGGAGCGAGTGAGAGAGAGAGAGAGAGGCAGATCGGAAACAGGTGGTGCTATGATGAGAACATACCAAAACAGAATACAGGCTAACCAGCAGAGGAAATGGGGCTGGTCGGCACATATGAGGAAAAAGAATGAATGCCTACAGTGGCATGAGTAAAACCGTGGTTAAACGTCAGGAACGCGGCGGAAGCGCAGTTTCCGGCCGGCGTCTCTTCTGATTGGCTGGATCTGCTGTTACTTCGCTGGCTGTTGCTGTGAACTCCGGTTTCGCATGTGACTCTTTGAACGAGAGTGTGCTTCTCCGCTAAACGCAGTCCGGTCCGTCGGCCGGTCGCCTTAATGACTGTCTGATCATCCGCAGAACACCGTCCGTTCTTACGCGGCATCGTCCTCGACTCGTCGAATCTACGAGGTGGCAAGAGGCCGGCGCCATGGGCAAACAGAGCGACATTTTCGAAGCCTGTAAACGCGGCGACCTCAAAGAGATCACCTCCCGTCTGTCGCCGAGGGACACCTTCTTGCATAAGTATGTCGCTGCACGGCTTCCTTTTAAGTTTCGGCGTGGCCCCAACGTTCTGGCGTTGTTATACAACCTGCCTGAGATTCACATCCAAAACCGTAGAGCACGGTACGAATAACACTTTATGACAGAAATATCGGTCAGTAAAAGGCAGTCTTAACTTATCCTCATTCTTAGGTGAATATTAAACTCTTAGAGGTCCGGAAGGACAGGAAAGGTTCATTCTAGTTAATCCTTAATCACTGTATGTTTAGCCCTAAAAATGGTCGATTTTGATCTTCAGAAACCGAAGAGAAAGTCTGTAATCGTTTCGTTATCGGTCTCCCGTACATTTCCATATATGAACATCATTTGTGGTACCCTTCTTCTCATGATGCTTTCGGTGCGACGTTAATCTCTGCCTCCCTGCCGTCAACCAGCAGAATCTTATTGTTCTTACTTTTCAAACTTGCATCTACAGTTCGGTGATCACTTTAGCGTGTAGCTGCTCGTTTCCTTGATACGAAGTGACACCCGTTCATCAACCTCGGAAGAAAGAACTGCACGTGACTCCCCTCACCCTTCCCCCGGAAGGGCCCTAACCTGGGACCTTTAGCTGTTATATCGACGCTGTATCGACAACTCCGGCTTCCGTCTAATCAACTGTTGTTCATTGATTGATCCCTGATGACACCATGCTACGGATATTTTCATCCTGCCTCACAGCCGTCAGTTTTCTTGGCTGTAGAATATTGATCAGTATCAGATTACTCATCAAATTACT